ATGTACACTATAATCTGAGTGCGGCCTGTCTATGATCCCTCACTCGTCAGGCCTGCATCACCACGCTCCCTCACCAGTCGTATGACGTCTGTCGCGTAGACCATCTCGCACGTTTCACTGCCATCTAGCGGCCGGACGACGTTATGCAGTTCCGGTACGCCGTCGACGCCCTTGGCGGCGGGCCCGGCGCTATCCAGGCGGCAGCCCTCTCTGACGGGCGTGGCGCCAAGCCGGCGGCGCACATACTCAGCCAGGTATGCCTCGCGCACGTGGCCGACCAGTCGTAGCCGGAGGGGGCGGCCCGCGCTGCCCGCCACCGGCCCGCCAGGCACTCATCCACCAGGCTGGAGCGGCGTCCGAGGTGTCAGCGCGACAATACAGACGGAACAACGCTGCTTTGCCCGGCTGCAGCGGGTGATGGAGGCATCGGTCCTGAACGAGCGGGGGCTGGAGGAAAGCACTGATGCGATACGATATGTTGCTGTCCGCGCAGCCGTGACAATCCTGCGCCCAGACCAAGTCGCCTGACATCGGCATGATGACGTCACATCTGTCCAGTCGCGCCCGCCCGCGGCAGGACTACCGGGCCTCGTGCTCGTCTGCGCCTCATGTTCCTACACACACGTGACATCGGCGAGGTGACGTGAGATCTACACGTCACTTCGGTTTGGGGCAGGACTACCGGACCCCGTGTTCCTCTGCACATCCTGTACTTAAACACACGTAGCACACCGGCGAGCGCACCTGCTCGTCATGTTCTCGAAGCCGCAGGTGTGGCCTGGCGTGGTCAGGTTGACCTGCCAGTCGAAGCGCGGGCAGCCGATGCGCCAGACGCCAGTCGCACGGCCTGCAGGCCGTCTTCGGCCGGGAGCCCCGCCGGTCGCCCGGGCATCCCCTGCCCGCCTGCGGAGGCGATTGCGTGCCGCGATGAGAGGCAGCGAGCAGTCCCAGATCACGCTATCCAGGGCTTTTGTGCCTGCTACCAATGGATCTATCAGATGGCTGTGCAGCACACCGGCGCATGTAGTACTTTTTTCCTCGCCTCATCTACCTCGTGCTAGATTACATGCTTAGAAACAAGGGCTCATAATGACTTCCGCAAGTTCAACACTTCTGTCGGATCATGTCACTGACTGCCCCCTGTAATTATTCCAGAGTGAAAACTTTTTGACCTATATCCCTCCCCTGACCGTGCCACAGCCACTGCCAGTCACTGGACCACGTCGTTCTCGCTGGCCTGGGCCTTCTAAGCATCTTGCAGCATGGATGAGCCAGAGGCCTTGACAAGCGAATGCCTTCGCTTGACCCGGACCACGAGCGCCGGCTGACCCAACTCATGAACCGAGCTTGTAGCCCGAGGTTCGACCCCGGCTCTTTTTCTCAGCTCTGTCGAAGTCTGGGCCGAGCTCCCGGTCCGAGGTCGACCTCGGCTTTGCTCTCAGCTCCGCCGAAGCTCTGGGCTGAGCTCCCGGTCTGAGATCGATCCCGGCTCCGCTCTCGGCTCTGCCGAAGCTCTGGGATGAGCTCTCGGTCCGGATTTGACCCGGCTCCGCTCTCAGCCCTGACGGAGCTCTGGACTGAGCCTCCGATCCGAGGTCGACCCCGGCTCCGTTCTTAGCTCTGACTCTCACGAGGCTCTGGATTGAGCTCCAGGTGTGGTGTCGACCCCGGCTCTGTTCTTAGCTCTGACTCTCACGAGGCTCTAGATTGAGCTCCCGGTGTGGTGTCGACCCGGCTCCGTTCTTAGCTCTGACTCTCACGAGGCTCTGGATTGATTGCTCCCTGGTTGTTTGGTTGTCCGACCCCGGCCCTCGTTATCAGATTCTGACTCTCACGAGGCTCTGGACTGAGCTCCCGGTGTGTTGTCGACCCCGGCTCCGTTATCAGATCTGACTTTGTCGAATCTGTGGACTGAGCTCTCGGTCCGGGGTCGACCCCGCCTCGGTTCTCAGCTCTGACGGGGCTCTGGAGTGAGCTACGAGCTGGGCTGTGCCGCACGGACTTACCACGGTATTGGAGCCAGAGAGCGGCGACCAGGACTATCGCCACAACGAGAAGACAGCAGAAGATCGCCTTGCTCGTCGGGCAGCGCCAGACAGTGTCACCTCCACGGCGAGACATAATGTCCTGAAATTGCAGCAGATGACGCTGGGTAGGTTGTGGCTCAGTTTTAAAACTCACCGTCAAGTTAGCGACATTTGCGGGAGTTTTCACGAATGGTGACACCTCTCTGTGACATGCGGAGCGAAGCGAATAAAGACACCTCTGGCAAAAGCGGCGCGTTAGATGTTGTTTTGTTCGGATTATTTGGTAGTGTATCAGTAGATTGGATCTTCCTTCGCATTCAAAATGCAACTTGTGTGACAGGAAATGTGTCACATCACCAACGCTGATTACCCAATAATTAAACGTACCATTTACCACGCGCCTGGGTGGCCTGCCGGATACCCTTGGCTCTGGTGGGGTGTGTGGGGGGGGGGGTCAATTTGGCCTCCTGAGATCTCAGCAGCTAAGAGATATAGAGCCACCAATCTCACAGGGTGCGTTGAACTGTACATGAACTCACTTAGATCAACGTTTGAGGTTCCTAGGTCATGATCTTTGGGCCAAATATGGTCCGACAAGGTCAAATTTTAGGTTGGTCTCCAAAGGCCCCGAGAACTTAGATAACTGTTCTTAGCAAAGTCACATGCTCAGTTCAGGTCGGTGAACTGGCTCGGCATTTCAAAGGTCATAGCGATTTAAATCATGCAAAACGGCTTTGAGTTTTCCATTTGAAAAAGCGACAAAGGTTACGATAGGCAGTATCTTCCTAAAAAAAAAACAAAGCGTTGACCTGGGTCATTTTGGGTCAGCGACCTGCTCTGACCTTAAAGAAGTTCATGAAAGGTGTATAATGCAGTCTCTGTTACCAATAAATTCGAAATGAGCACCAGAAACTACCCCACACAGTAATAAAATACCCTAGAGCCATAAACAGTTTGGTTTTGACCTTGCCCTGACCTCCATGCCTGGCCCTAGGTCAATGTCATTTGTTTTTTTCAATTGCTGTGTTGCCTAAAAAGTATCTCAGAGATGTATGGCTTTGTCTAACACTCCGTTGTTGGATCAGATTGAGTGAATACCTTGAAATTGTCTTCGCTGAAACCAGAGCCTGATTTTGACCTGCCATAGGTCAGCGACCTTACAAGGTAAATATAAATTACCTATGCCAGACGATCGTCTATTCAGTTGTCTACAGCTGTGCAAAAAATGTGGCGCGGCCACGCCGTGCCGTTCAGAAAGCATTGTGGAAAAACCTTCGGGGAGGGGGTCACTTTGACTCCCCCCCCCCCACTCGAGCGCGTGTTAAATGTGAGAGAACGGCCTTTCAGGATAATACTATTTTATTTTGCAAAATAGCACACAACAAAATAGCAGCATTCTGACAGCGTCTGACTTCTTCAGGTTAAAACACATCACTGTTTCGACAAGGGCATATTCTCCGTGTGTAAATGAGTCCGCCCGGTTATACAACGATTTGTCTGCATCGCCTTCGTCCAGCACCACCTTTCAATGAGGGGGAACCACCATGATGTGTGCGAGAGATGTATGTGCGAGAGCTGTGCCATGGATGTGCCAAGCGAGTACGTGTGAGCCCGGTACGTAACATGAAGGCGCTCGGTAATGTCACACAATAGTCACAAACGAAAGCTACCAGGGACTTCAACAGAATTTTTCAAGCACCTAACTGCCGAAGACATCACCAGTAGAGCGCAAGGTGAGAGTACGTACTCGGCTTATTTCCATCAACTCTGAACTCCATAAACCCATTATAATCGTGCATCATTTAAGAGTAAGTATCATCACGCGATCATCAGCAGCAACAGCAGCAGGAGCAGCAGCAAGCGAAATGATGCGATCATGCATCATGTGAGATGATGCATCATTTCGTATCAGTCTACGACCAAAGGCGTTTGGACTATCATACACGAGTAAATGGCCGTTTTCATCTCATTCAATCGAAATTAAATGATAACTTGGTCGCAAACTTGCCACCTGAAATGTGTACGACATAGCGCTGAAAGTTCAGGATATCCACAACCTTCCTGAAAAGGTTCACAATAATGCATAATAGTTCAAATCTAATCGATAAATATCACCATCTATTTCAGCAATTCTATATCAGCTCCTTCTTCTCGAAAGCGATTAAAACTCGTTATCACGAGGGACGGCGAGAACGAGCGACAGATGGCATTATCTGCTGCATGCTATATAACCTAAGATTACCTTCTTGACGAAATTATTGCTATTTTCAAAATGCACGAAATACGACACAGTTCTAAGTTCTACAGTTCATTCTGTAAATACATCAGTACATAACAAGCCTGATTTCGTCGCAAAGCGCCTATTTGCAGCTCATTTATCTCAAAACTGCATGCGAACGCCTAAAATTTATACAAGAGCCTTAACAGCTTCTGGTCGTGGTAGCATAAAAGGCATTTAACCGCACTTAGTAAGGTGGGAGAGGACATAAAGACCATGTTCCTCACTTGCCCGTAAACGGAGGGTTGCTGCTATCGTTATCGATTTAAGCGTCTTCTCTCGGTGATGTGACAAAAAATTAACAGGACCCAGACAACTGTCGCGGGTTTCTTCGCCACAGCTGCCCTTGGGCATTTTGCAATGTCTCATGAGCTTTCCAGTCAGTCGGGCCAAAAGATTCGCCCGCTCTTCGAATCGTACCCAGTGGCGACGGACCACGGAACTAGAATATTTCACCTTGACCATGAAGGCGGTCGTTTTTAGCAGTCTTTACGGGTAACATCGCCGCGTAGTCAGACGGCGCCCGGCCCCAGAGCAGCTACCACGTGCCCGACTGGGACCCGCATGCTAAGCAGGGTTTTCTTGCGACTGGTTTTGTGGTCCGTGCGCTGCCCCTTGCCGGAGAGATTTCGCCGCGGACTGACCGTCAGGAGCAGCCACTCTGTCCGCGCTCAAGCAGGAGTGCAGGAGATGCGTCAGGGCAGTATATTTTCTGTTGATTAGTAAACATTGGCCGATGTATAAGCAAGTGAAATTGGCATGGTGCATTAAAATGCAAAGGGAGGTTGTTCGTCCTGCATTGGAACGTTTTGTTTGTACTCCCTCAACGCCTTTAAGTCTACACGTTATTTTGTTTTAAGATGTGCGTAGTTCCAGGTTGTAATATCTTGGTGAACGAGCAAAATAACTGAAGGTAGCTTGGAGATGTGCGCAAGATGCAAGGTTCCAACAGCGGAAATTCAGCCAAGTATGAAAGTGTAAGCTGAAATTGAATCAATACGCGTAGCACAAAATACACGAATGGCATACAAGGGTACGACAGCTCGCAGAGCCGGCCTGCTGGTGTCGTCTGACCTTAGCTGAGGCGGTCCGTACGGCGCGGCTGGCTGCTGCTGCGACTGTGGCCGGCCGGCCGGGCCGGCGCGGCGCCGGGTCTGCATTTGCAGCCTCGCGGGCCCGCAGGCGCCGCGCGCGGGGTGAGCGACCGGGCTCCGCGGCCGAGACGCGCCGACTAACGCCTGGGCAGCGGGTGGAACGTGCAGTGTCCGGAGGAAACGGGCAACAGCGCTACGCAACGTCCGAAGGAAACGGGTTACAGCGTTAGGCAACGTCCGGAGGAAACGGGTAACAGCGTTAGGCAACGTCGGGGGGGGGAAACGGGTAACAGCGCTAGGCAACGTCCGGAGGCAACGGGAACAGCGCTAGGCAACGTCCGGAGGAGGAAACGGGTAACAGCGCTAGGCAACGTCCGGAGGAATGGGATAATAGCGCCAGGGGACGTGCGGAGGAAAGGAATAACGGCGCCATGAGGCGTCCGGAGGGAAGGAATAACAGCGCCAGGAGACGTCCGGAGGAAAAGGAATAACAGCGCCAGGAGACGTCCGGAGGGAAGCAATAACAGCGCCAGGAGGCGTCCGGAGGGAGGGAATAACAGCGCCATGAGACGTACGGAGGTAAGGAATAACAGCGCCAGGAGACGTCCGGGGGAAAAGGAATAACAGCGCCAGGAGACGTCCGGAGGAAAAGGAATAACAGCGCAGGAGGCGTCCGGAGGAAAGGATAACAGCGCCGGACGTCCGGGGAAAAGGATGACAGCGCCAGGAGGCGTCTGGAAGAACAAAATAACAGCGCCATGAGACGTCCGGAGAGATGGAATCACAACCACGGGGACGTCAGGAGAGGCGGAGTTGCGGCCGGAGGGGGGGGGGGGGGGGGTAGACAGATCAGACAGAGACCGGATGACCACATCTTGAGACGGTTATGTAACAGCAATGCAAGTGCCATAACCATCAGCAATTTTCTTCCATCTCATGCGAAATCTACAAGATATTTCTCATGCGCGATAGTGTGTTTGATGACAGATACCAACGTAAGGTTTGTTTTCTTTAATTCTTTAGGCTTCATACAGGGTGGGCAAATGTAGTTGTTCTTGGTTGTCATAAGATCGGTTGAATTAACTGTAAAATAGCTGATAGTCGAATGCCTCCACAAATACAAAACCATGCCGTTTTTTGCCGCTTTTCATGCCGTTTTTTGGTACAAAACCATGCTTTTTGCGTTAGTTTACTTGATTAAGTATGAGAGGAAATGTTACACATTTGAAAAGATTAAAGCAGGCATCGGCATTTATGAAATGAGCTCACTTATCACTATTTACATATTTTTACGGGGAAAAGACTTTTCTAGACAACATGCTTTCTCTGTTTAGCAAATGTACTCCTAAAAATGTCATTGTTTGATTATGTCATCGTGTCATGCGCAGGGAACTTTCAAAACATTGATTGGGAGTCAATTGACGGCCCCTATGCCTGGAAAGCGTGCTCACGAACGCCAGATGCGTGCGACTCGGCAACCGCTTTTTGTTGGCCTTGATCGTGGCATAGCTTATGGCATGACAGGGTTTGAATGGCGTTATCGCATCATGTTTGCCTAGATGACCCAAAAATAGTCTCCCCGAAATAGCCTGCAAATCTTCGTGAGCGTTTAGCCAAGAAACTGGAAAGTTTTAGGTCTCCTTTATGGATTATGCATCGTCCACTGTCATTCAACAGTCGCACAGAGAATAGCAACAAAAGGGCCACATATATGTTATTCTGTACGCTGCGTGGATTTTTCACTACATTTTACATTTTACATGTGCTTTTCTGAACATTTCTACATTTGTTCACATGCAACAAAGACGCTTTCATGATTCCCTGAAATACCGGGAAAATAGTTCGAAATGTCTCAGAAAAGCACTTCACGGACAGGAGACAAAAACAGACCGGACGTGACCAACAACTTGTTGCTGAAAATATAATTATAACGTTTATTTTCCATACGCCGATCCCTGGCTGGAGCCGTAGCCCTGACCTCCGGTCGGGCCACGTCCCCTCTTGACGTTGCTGCGACCCTCCTCCTCGCCATACGCGTTGAGGAACTTTGCCTCACCCTCGTACTCGACGTCGGCCACAAAGCCAGATTCGCCCTGGACCGAATAGGAGATGGTCTGGAGTCGGCCGTCGGGCAGCACGACGCTGTACTGGCCCTGCACCTCCTCACCGTTGGACTCCTCGGCCGCGCCAAAGTCGTTACCACGGACATCCAGCACGTCGTAGCTGAACGAGTAGGGCGTAGGAGGCTCTGTCTGTCCGTAGCCTCCGTTGGACTGCTGGCCATAACCTCCGTTGGACTGCTGGCTGTAACCTCCGTTGGACTGCTGACCATAGCCTCCGTTGGACTGCTGGCTGTAACCTCCGTTGGACTGCTGGCTATAACCTCCGTTGGACTGCTGGCTGTAGCCTCCGCCAGACTGCTGGCTGTAACCTCCGTTGGACTGCTGGCTGTAGCCTTCGTTGGACTGTTGACCATAGCCTCCAATGCTGGACTGCTGGCCATAGCCTCCGTTGGACTGCTGACCGTAGGTCGGCTTCAGGCTAGACTCAAATGGTCTCCTCCGAGACTGCAGACCATAGCCTGATGATGCCGATGACGACCCATATTGAGACTGGGCACCAGAAGGGGCACCGTACTGGGACTGGGCACCGGAGGGAGCACCGTACTGGGACTGAGCACGAGAGGGAGCACCGTATTGGGACTGAGCACCAGAGGGAGCACCGTACTGGGACTGAGCACCGGACGGAGCACCGTGCTGGGTCTGGGCACCAGAGCCATGTCGATCCGCTGTAGCCACGAAGGCAAGGGCAGCTATAATCAGGATCTTCATGCTTGCCGAGAGGACTAGTTGAAGCAACTGTGCCTGGCCCACCGAGTCTCGCAGTTTTATACCGTGTCCGCTCGTGAGCATTCAATCACCGCCTTGGCAGCACCGACACGGAATCATGATTGCACAATCTGGCTGAAATGAGTATGCAGATTGTACGAGGTGTCGCGGGCGATCCGTGAGGAGATCAGAGCACGGGTGTTTCCTCACCTGACATCGGCACCGGTTTGTATATCATGTTCGGCGGATTGACCCGAAACACAGTGGGCAGCCAGCCCTCTGCTCAAACACGGCCTGGCCTCTACGATCCCAGTACGTAAACAGTCGTATTGCAACTCTTCGTATGTGAGACTTGAGAAGCAATGAAGTTGGGTGCACCTTGTAGACGAATAACTGTGAGACATAAGGGCATAAAGATATCCGGCCAGCCAAGGAGCACAAGGATCCATCGGGGCTGGCATGCCTCACGTTCCGTACACATCCTCAAAACTAATCACCCGACCTACATAAATTTAGCTATAAATGAGATCTTTAGACCAATAGAACTTGTCGAAGCAGTTTTTCAATATTGCTAGAGAGGGACTTTCCACAGCTTGGTTTGTTCGCCTATTCCAATGGTTCACTTCTCTTTCACTAAATGACATCTGCCTCTTCATAGTTCTACTCCTACCTTTTGCTAAATGAAACTGGTTTCCTCTATGTCTCGGCCTAATTTCCAGTGCTCCATGTAGATATACCTTGTCAGTCCCCTTCATAGTATTGTTCACCTCCATCAGATCCCCTCTAAGTTTGCAATATTTCATTGAATACAAATCCAAGGCCCTAAGCCTATCCCTATATTATACGTCGCCAATTCCATTCATCATCCTAGTTGCTTTCCGCTGTGCTCTTCTACACATTTTTCTATACCCTACGCCCTGTGCTCTTTCGCCAGTCTATCTACACCCTATTGGAAGCGTGCGGACCAAGCCTGTACACAATACTCTTGGTGTGGTCTGACATAAGCCAAGAACAACTTCTCGACAACATTCCTACTCTTGTAATGGGCGTTCCTGTTAATAAGTCCAAGCATCCGAGGCGCCTTGCTCCTAGCAGTCCCACCTTGCCTTTCACTCTACAAATCCTTAGAAATTGTAAGCCCTAAATCCTTTTCTTCCTTAATTTGGTCTAGCTCCTGACCTCCCATTTTATAGCTAATACCCTCATTGCTGAAACTACCCAAGCGCATCACCTTACATTTGTCGTAATTGAATGGCATTTGCCACAGAGAAGCCCAGTTGACTAGTTTATTCAAATCAAGTTTAAATTAGTTCACCTGTTCAGCACCTTGCTCCATAGCCCTAGCTCAATATTATTCACAAAAATAATAAAGAGCAAAGAGTCCAACAACATCCGCTGTAGAAGGCTACTCTCTAGTAGCTCCCACTGATATTTTGTACCATTGAGCACCACTCTGCTTTCTGTTTAGAAGTCAAGTCCTCACCCAGCCAACAGTTTTTCCCTCAATGCCATGCGAATTTAACCGATAAAGCAGACGCTGGCGTGGCATCTTATAAAATGCCTTCCTAAAATCTGGAAAGACAACATTTGAACCATTGCCTTCATCTCCGCCTCCGTGGTCTTGGGGAAAGATGCTGGACTCGTAATCCAGCGGCGCTGGGTACGAGTCCCAGAGTGGACGCATTGTTTGACCCGACTGAAAAGGAAAGGCCAGCTGGCAACTGGCCAACGAGGTTCAACCCAGACCCGAGGCGGCCGTGTCGCAGCATTGTGCGGCACGTAAAACCCTCCGCATCCCTGTCTGGCGAAAGGGCGTAGGCAAAATTAGCTGTGGAACTGGACGGCACGCTTGGGTGGTGGGTTCGGGGTACACGCAACAAGCTATGCTTAGCAGGTACTCTGAATCCGAAGTCACCCTTACAAACCATTCGGAATAAATTTATTTGTTAAAAAAAATCTCTCTGACTAGTAATCTGCCCCATGAACTCTAGATGATGTGCCGAACAGAACCTACCTGAAAGAAAACCATGGTGACTTCTATTTATCAACTGATGCCTTTCTAAGTGTGACTGAATGCTAGCCTTAATCTCTAAGGCCTTACAAACTAGCGAGGTTAAACTCACAGGCCTGTACTTGCTGACACTTCTTAAGTCCCCTTCTAAAAAATCGGTACTACATTGGCATTGCGCCAGTCCTCGGGTCTTCTGAGAAACTCAATGATCCATTAAATATTAGCATAAGAGGATAAGCTAGAGCACTGACGCACTCATTCAACATCCTTCCATATATCTGATCAGATCCGACCACTTTATTAACCTTGATTTCCATCGATCTACCCTTTACTATACCCAAGGTAATCGTCAAATCTAAAAGGCTGCCTTCAGTCAAGTTTTGCCTAATTTGGAGGAGATTATACATAGTCTCCTCTGTAAAAATCGAAGGAAACTGCCTACTAAGGGCATCTACAATGTGCCTGTGCTCCACTAAAGACTTTCCACGTTCCTCGAGAGGGCCGACGGGTCTCTTAGATATGACTTTGTAGTAATTAAAAAACTTCTTAAAGTCGCCAGAGCTAGTCTCTGCTAGCCGCATTTCTGATAATGTTTTGCCTACCCCGATTTCCTGCTTAAGCTTTTTTGTTGCAATCCTATACTCTTGCTTGCTGCTTTCTGTGTCTCGCACTGTTTGCCCATCATTGCCCATCATCTTCTTTACTGCCATCAAATTGCGCCAGCCATGATAGCTTCCTAGAGCTATTTTCTCGCAATTTTCTAAAAGATATGAACCTTTCTGTCCTTCTTCTAAACTATCCTTGAATGCTTCCCACATTTGATGTACAGTGAGACCAGATAGAGCATTCTCCCACTGGATGCTGGCAAGAAAGGCTGTAAGTGCTTCAAATCTACCCGTAGGAAAAATAGAAATAAGGGTATGATTAGTCTTACCTGAAAAAATATAGACACGTTGAAAACCCTACAATATTATGGTCACAGTTTCAAAGTGCCTTACCTACTGCCAAAGCATCTACCTGCCCCTCCTCATTAGTCATAACCAGATCCAAAGTCTTTTCTCCCCCAGTGGGTTCGCACGCCACCTGCCGAGGAAATTTTCTCGTAATCCCCCAGCATCACACATTTTCCTTTCATACCTCTGCCAATTTCTTCACGTATTTCTGTGTCCAGATTCTGGCAACTATTCGGAGGCCTGTAGAAGGCTCCAATGCGTAGATTGTTGCCCTTTGACACAACCAAATCTAGCCAGAGGGATTCTACACTATGGCCAGTCGTCATACTTTCAACATTTTCACAGTATATTCTGCCTCACATGTACTAATATCTCTCCTCCTTTTTCACTTTTCTGTGAAATGTTGACGTATTATTGTAACCAGATACTTCAAATTTATGTAAACTATCCCCGAAAAGCTGCTCGCTCATCCAAGATTCAGAAACAGCTGCCTGGTTCTCATCAAATGATCGCTACCCCGGGAATGATCGGCGGTGGGAATGAACCCCACCGCCGACTCGCCACGAAATCCATTATCTTCGCACGGGGCTACAAATGTGATCGTGATCGAAAATCGAATTCGATCTATATGATCGATGCTGAGATAGAAAAAATGGAAATTGCCATCCTACATGTGCCCCTCCCATCTTAAGATGGCTGCTATCATATGACGTCACGCAAAACTGGTCTGCTCAGAATGGGAATATTTTGTGGAAAAGTGGAGCCAAACATGTTCATTTAAATTACGTGGTATCTCCACCCACCAAGATTGCTTACCTTCACCGGAGGAATGTTCATTATGTATTTGCATGTGCGTTAGGTTTGAATAACGTGAGAAGAAGTGAACGTTTGTGACTGAGACGGCGGACAGCGCAAGTATTTAGCGACATGTGCATTGGTGGGCTTTGGAACATGAGCGTCACAAAACCACTCGATGTGCCGCTGGTATGTGCCTGCTTGCAAACACAACGACCCTTGCAACGAACTGAACATAGAAGTAAACCATGCTTACCAAAGCTAAAGTACCCTTCAAAATAGTCACTGCGCTAAATCCGACGGGCAGAAATCAAAGCCTTTGTGCGACGTTTCGTTGAATTCGCAGGAATTCCCAAGGTAGTGGGCTTCATATGTGCACACCCTTTTTGCTTAAATAGCGGACTTTAAGCTCTCATACCAAGAATCATGTTATTTAATGTATTGAATTCATGGTGGTGGACAGGGAGTCCAATGACATTTCCTTACCGTAGCAGCTACTTAAAACCGAAATTCTCAGCTATTCATAAAGGCATTACGAAAAATTAGGATTACTAACCAAATCGGATACTCCGGATGAACTATAAGTGACAAGCGCAAAAATGTTCATGGACTCTGCGTGACAAACTATGAGCGATAAGTGCAAAAAGGTGGGATGCTTCCTGTAAAGCTGGATATAGATGCGCAGCTTTGACTCAGGCCCGGAAAATGGAGTGCGCAGAACGTAGAATGTACCTTTTCACTTAGAGCCGCAATATCTTCATCAATCCTAAACAAGTTGACAGTGCGTCGCCATTTATGGACAACTTCATAACAACAGTGGTCACACTGGCTGACAACTTCATGACAACACTGGTAACACTGGCTGACAACATTGGCGGAAATAGACCAGTAAGAAATGGAAAGAAAAATGCTGACAAGATTATCAGCATCATGTTTAGTTCCCCCATCGTAGTTAAGTTTAGTGTTTCAGTCACCCAGAAGCAGATTTACAGCAAAGTGAGCTGGAGCAAAAGAAATTCCTGACAAAGCTATCAGCACCATGTTTATTTTCCGTAGGCCGATCGCTGGCTGGAGCCGTATCCCTGACTTCCGGTCGGGCCACGTCCCTCTCTTGACGTTGCTGCGGCCCTGCTCCTCGCGGTAGGCGTTGAAGAACGTGACTTCGCCCTCGTACTCGACGTCGGCCACAAAGCCAGAGTCGCCTGGACCGTATAGCAGACGGTCTGGAGTCGGTCATCGGGCAGCACGACGCTGTACTGGCCCTGCACCTCCTCACCGTTGGACTCCTCGTCCGCGCCAAAGACGTTACCAGGCACGTCCAGTACGTCGTAGCTGAACGAGCACGGCGTAGGAGGCCTGGCCTGCCCGTAGCCTCCGTTAGACTGCTGACCGTACCCCCCGCCGGACTGCTGGCTGTCACCTCCGTTAGACTGCTGGCGCTCGCCCCCCCCCCCCCCCCCCCTCCCCCCCGAACTGCTGGCCACTGGCCACGTCCCACGCCGAAGTGCTGGCTGTAACCTCCGTTGGACTGTTGACTGTAGGCTCCGTTGGTGGATTGCTGTCCGTACCCTCCGTTGCTGGGCTGCTGGTCATAGCTCCCGTTGCTTGGCTGCTAGCTGTAGCCCCCCGTTGGACTGCTGGCCGGAGGTTTGCCTTTAGGCAAAACTCAGATGGTCTCTTCCGAGACTGCGAACCGTAGCCTGACGATGCCGATTACGACCCATATCGAGACTGGGCACCAGAGGAAGCACCGTACTGGGACTGGGCATCAGGGAGAGCACCGTACTGGGACTGGGCACCAGAGGGAGCACCGCACTGGGACTGGGCATTAGGGAGAGCACCGTACTGGGACCGGGCACCAGAGGGAGCACCGCACTGGACTGGGCACCCGAAGGAGCACCATACTGATTGGGCACCAGAGCCACGCCGGTCTCCTGCAACCACTACAGCGAGGGCAGCTACAACCAGGATCTTTTTACTTGCTGAGAGGACTAGTTTGAGCAACTGTGATTGGCCCACTGAGTTTGACCGTTTCATACCGTATTCGCTGGTGAGCTTTCAGTCGCCGCCTTGTAGGCGGCGGCGACGGCAGCAGCACGATTGCGCAATTGAGATGAAAATGAGAATGCAAATAGTACGAGGTTGTCGCGGGCGATCCGTGAGGAGATCAGAGCACAGGTGTTTCCTCACCTGCCATTGGCACTCGTGCGTGAATCATGCCTGGCAGATTGACCCGAACCACGGAGGGCGTCGTGCCGGTGCGTGACCTCGTAAATACAGCTCTTACATTATGACCTGCCGCTGAGCGGCGTAGTTGTACCGAGGAATTGTAAGACCTGCTCTATATGCGGCTTGGGACTGGCTCTTGGGGGCGCCCGACATGGTGTCCGTATGCCCACCGGTCGAAGAGGTCCGACGCTGTGCTGCGGCCACCAGTCGTGACTGTAGTTTGGATGGGTCGTCTTTCTCTTGCCTTGTCCTCTCCTGCAAATGAATAGAAGCTGTTCGGGCATACAGGATATGGTGTTTGTGGTATCTTTGGTCAGTATATGTGATTATTAGCTTGTACCAAAATAACTCGAAGAAATATAGGACGTCGGATTGAGTTTAGAATGCATCTAAGGTATTGCTCGTTCTACGTAGTTCATGCTTGCAGTGGTATATCCTGTAAGTTGTTCTAATATGTTTAGATTTTCAGAAACATTCTTGTAAGGTATATGCCTAAAGCTCTACAGCTTGTCTCAATCCAGTTTATATCTGCTCGTATGACGGTAGTTGGCACGGCCCCACCGGCGAGCATTGCCACATGTGCTGCGTGCGCCATTTTGGAATCAATGTCCCTGCCGTGGTGACGGCTGACCTCATATTTTTCTGAAAACTAGTTGGGCTCCTTCGCTACATCACGATAATGACAATCGTGACGATAATAGCACAAGGCGAGCGTTCGGTTGGTAAGCTGCTGACGTATGATTCAATATTTGTGCAGGCGTTACTCTGGCCATGTGCTTTCGCGCGCTGGTGATGGGAGTATAGTGGACGCCAAGGTTGGGTGGACTTGGTACGGGTTAATGGGCTTAGCGAGCTTTGATTAAGTTTTAGAATGATGCTTCTTTTTCAAAATTAACGGGATTTCGTTTTGAGCGTAGACGGGGTATGCGATAAACAAAATATGGTCAGATTCATCCCGGAGGTGAAAAGAATAGTTGGGCTATGATGGTATCCTCTCAAGATTGTATTTTATGTAACCTGTACAGACCATGTTTCCATGCTTCCTACCGAGCGGAGGAAACGAGAACTTGGCTGATTGAGAAGCGTTACTCGTCTGCTTCGGCAATAACAGACAGCACACCTCAAAATCACCTCAACAGTCGCCCAACAAAATGGGCTGGACTGGGCAAAGCTGGTTAGGCCCATTCGCTTAGGGTGCGTCTGCCTGCCTGTCCGTCCCATTTACAAGTCGTTGTGCCCGGACCCGAACAGCGGGTTGCTGAGTTTTGCGATTTGTACACGCTGCGCCGGAGTGTGAGGCAATTTTCCATGAGTAGCTCGCGAGCCTCCGCCGGTCCGGGGTTCGGGCGTGGCACGTGCTGCAAGGTGCACTTTTGGCTCATTGATTTTCCGCGGGAGCAAATGTGGCCCGACGACAAAGCTGACGAGCAGCCGTTCTATGGCCACATCTCGCTAACCACCGGTCGGAGCGAGAGGAAATCGTCACGACTCGGTAGCGACAGGAAGTCGGCACGACTCGGCAGCGACAGGAAGTCGGCACGACTCGGTAGCGACAGGAAATTGGCACGAATCGGCAGCGACAGGAAGTCGGCACGGCTCGGTAGCGACAGGAAGTCGGCACGACTCGGTAGCGAGTCGGCAGGGGAGTCGCGTGGCTCTAGACGTGCAGTCGACGTGCCACACCCCGCGTGCACAGAGGTGGTAAGATAGCTCCGCTCGGGTTTTCACGGTTTTTACGTTGAATAGCTATTTAGGCAGCCAGAGTGAGTAGGTGGCGCGAGTCAAATTTCAAAGCGTCGAGCAACGAACCGTCCACAATTCACATCGCCAAAATGAATTTGTGCAACTCACGACTGCGCCAGTAATCGAAGGGAAAGTCGGGAATGTCGGCCTCTCGGAAAGCGGCCGCCTAGTACAAAAAGCCATCGGCGAGTTAGCAGCCATGTCATCCTTCCCTCTTATTCTCTTCTTTACTTCAGCCTAAATCCTCACGATGCCCCTTCGACCGGGGCATGCTGCATGCGTCAGCCACCTGTGGGCTGATATGTCCCCTGTGGAGGGACCTACCGGGCGCCCAGCGCACGCCCCACAGAGGGGTTCCTGCGCGGACTCAGCCTCGGCGGTTGGCCTGCCAGGTGCATGTAATCCTGCCCTTCCGTTATCCACTCTCCCTCCCATTGCCCTGAAATGGTCATGTCTGGCCGGAAGGGCTCCAAATCAAACAGTTAACAGTAGCCATTCTCTCGATGAAATTCACACCATCGCGTGCACCGGGCCAATGCCTGCTCTTACCATGGATTCAGTAGTTATTTTGTGGCTATCTCGTCCAAACATCAACTTAGTTAAAGGGCTGCAATTTCGCATTTTTGCGTCGCCAAAATGCCGCCGATCGGTCGCTCAGTCGTCGCCGGTGAGCATTGTAAGCAGATGAACAACCAAACGTGCACATGCCGAATGCAACTGTTTTGCTTTAGTTTATTCATTCGTTGCGGAGAAAAAGGTCAGCCTAAGTGATAATCGAGCGCAGTACTCGAAGCCCAATGGTTTGAGAAATGCCAATGGAACCACACACATCGGGTGAATAAATAATTTACAATGAGTGCGTTAACAGGACTCAACAAATTTAGTCATTTTTTCTTCAGCAAGCCCCCTGCTACGGCAAACAGTGCTCCAATGAATTTGCGAGGTGTGCTTTGTAGTCAATGCAGAGTCTGACCACGCAAACACGTTGCAGCAGTATTGAGCAGATGTGCAGCAGCGAAATTAAGGGAATATTGGCTTTTACAACGGCAGCAAGAACGGTTTCCTTGATGCTTTTGTAATGCATGACAATGCTTCAGCAGCAGTGGTTGTCTCAATAAGCAGTACACCTGAATGCCCCCAAATATTTTTCTGGGGTAATTTATTTTGGGCTTTGATGTGTGCTTCATCAGCTTCGAAGCATGACCATATAGGGCGAAATAGGAAGTGCTATGGCAATGTTTGTCCCAGACTCCAATTAATGTTTTCCCAATGGGCTTACGATGCGTACTGAAACAGACAGTATGTCATACTATATGATGTCATACTCAGCACATCACAAGCGGCTGCATACGGGCAGCCCCGGCAACCAGAATTGGGATCGGTCAGGAAATCCTATGGACGGTGTTCAATGCATCCTGAAGTAAGGCGAACGCAAATCGCTCAGAGGAACGCGACAGGCCTTTCCTTTGTTATGAAGCCAATGCCCCCACATTTGAAGATATTGAAGCAGGCCTTTGATATGATTGATTAAGTTACACTTATAACTCTTGCATGTACTTTTAAGTGAAAAAGAGTGTTCCAGACAGCACAATTTCTCCGTTTAGTCAACTATGCTTCTCAATAAGTCATTTTTGATTGCGACATCGTGCCACGCACATCGGGAAGCAAATGACGTCTCTTATATCTGGACATCGTGCTCTCGAGCGCCAGATGTTAAAGACTCGACACTCATATTCTGTTTAGCCTTGATCAGCGCATGGCTACTGGAATGGCAGGATTTCAGTAACAAACATTATGGCGTCATGGATGCTTCAGCGACTGGAGGGGTTTAGGTCTTAGAAATGACAGGGCTGTGAACTGCCGCCGAATGATGTTCAAGACGGCCATTTCAGTTCAAAAGCTATACAAATCTGGCCCCACTCTCTGTAAAGGAGCCAGCTCCGCCACTTAGCAACGCGAGCCTGCAAGCACTTGCTCCATTTTGTTAAATTTAGGTGGCCAAACCAACGCTGGGGTCCAAACCAACGTTAGGGGGCCAGGGGTTTTACAAAAGGATACAGATCGACATCCGGTGGTTGTAGGGCATCTATCGTGGCGTTGCAAATCTGCGCAACTCAAGGTGTACAATAACTACGGGTGAGCATAGATTATTTATGCATCATTTTTCTTTAGTCAGCAAACATAATAAACATGACACGATAAACATTTTCTGATTTATTTATTGTTTCGACCACATACGCTTCCCACAACCAATTAACACATGGGCATACCTCAAACACCAAAGATATTGTTATGCTCCAAATATTTCGGACTGTGCAATTATAAGTGCTCTAAGAATGCATGCAAATACGCAGCAAGGAAGAAAAAATTGAGTCACGAACAAACGGTCATCCGAAAGCAGATTTCAGCAAAGTGAGCTGGAGCAAAACAAATTACTGACAAAGTTATCATCACCATGTTTAGTTTCCATACACCGATCTCCGGCTGGAGCCGTAGCCCTGACCCTCCGGTCGGGCCCACGCCCCGTCTTGACGTTGCTGCGACCCTCCTCCTCGCCGTAGGCGTTGAAGAACTTGGCCTCACCCTCGTACTCGATGTCGGCCACAAAGCCAGAGTCGCCCTGGACCGAGTAGGAGACGGTTCTGGAGCCGGCCGTCGGGCAGCACGACGCTTGTACTGACCTTGCACCTCCTCACCGTTGGACTCCTCGGCCGCGCCAAAGTCATTACCACGCACATCCAGCACGTCGTAGCTGAACGAGTAGGGCGTTGGAGGCTCGGTCTGTCCGTAGCCTCCGTTGGACTGCTGACCATAGCCTCCGTTGGACTGCTGGCCATAGCCTCCGTTGGACTGTTGGCTATAGCCTCGTTTGACTGCTGGCATAACCTCCATTGGACTGCTGGCTGTAACCTCCGTTGGACTGCTGGCTGTAACCCTCCGTTGGACTGCTGTCCGTAGCCTCCGTTGGACTGCTGGCCATAGCCTCCGTTGGACTGCTGGCCGTAGGTCGGGCTTCAGGCTAGACCTCAAATGGTCTCCTCCGAGACTGCAGACCATAGCCTGACGATGCCGATGAAGACCCATGTTGAGGACCTGGGCACCAGAGCGAGCACCGTTCTGGGACTGAGCACCGGAGGGAGCACCGTACTGGGACTGAGCACCAGAGGGGAGCACCGTGCTGGGTCTGGGCACCAAAGCCACGTCGATCCGCTGCAGCCACGAAGGCAAGGGCAGCTATAATCAGGATCTTCATGCTTGCCGATGAGGACTAGTTGGAGCAACTGTGCCTGGCCCCACCGAGTCTCGCAGTTTTATACCGTATCCGCTCGTGAGCATTCAATCACCGCCTTGGCAGCACCGACACGGAATCATGATTGCACAATCTGGCTGAATGAGTATGCAGATTGTACGAGGGTGTCGCGGGCGATCCGTGAGGAGATCAGAGCACGGGTGTTTCCTCACCTGACATTGGCACCGGCTTGTATATCATACTCGGCGGATTGACCCGAAACACAGTGGGCAGCCAGCTCTTTACTCAAACACACCCTAGTCTTCAGAATCGGACAAAGCCTCGTGTAACCGACTTTGTAACGCATTTCATCCGGCGCAAATATCCGCTCGCAAATATTCGTGTTTACAAAACCCCCTACCCACATAGGTTTAGTTTTATTTCTTCGCATGCGCATTTTTTTCGATTTGATTTCGTAGAATATGCGAAATCGGTGCATCATATTCGTAACATACGCAACTCTGTGCATCGCGCCGGCATTTCTGCACACACGCGTTATCTTTGCGTGAAATCTCTGCTCGTTGCATGCCGTCTTAAACGCTTTGTTACGCATGACATTCTCTGCCCAACGGAATCTTTACTCATAAAATCTCTGATATGTGAGCAAAAATTGCCATACTGTTTCATCCTGCACGCGGCTGCCGCTGCTGCTTCGCAGCTACTCCGTTTCTACTTCCATTCCGTTCTTAGAAGACCCCGTACTTAAGATCCTGTTTTCGCCCCCCAACGTGTACATTGCGTGCAGGCCCAAGGCGAGATCCTATCAGTTTCCGCATGGGGACCTTACATAGCTGGTGAATGGTGTGATTACCTCCCGCTGCATTCATTTGACTTTATGGGCCGGTTGGTTAAAACATCATGCGCTCGGGTTAACGTGCTGGTGTTCGTATTGCGCTTCTAAACTCTGTGCCACGCGTGTGTACATTGTTGTTGATTTGTGCCAATCGACGTCAGCATCTCGTCTTAGGCCTGTACGCGATGCATGCACCGATTCCACAAAGCATGCCTTACTCTTCGCACCTGCGTGCTGGGAACTCCGCGCGGTGGGGGCGGGGGGGGGGGGGGATGCTCCGCGCGTCCCTCCACAGAAGCAGCTCCTCGCTGCTGAACTTATGAAATGTCCACGGCAGTTATCAGGGCCGAGTGTACATATGGAGATGGTACACGTCATGCCTATGTGTCGTATTTGCTATAAGCAACTGGGTTAACATTCAGCTGATTAGGTGCCATGTGGCACCTAGCATGCGTCATTTTTTATCACTACACACAGACCAAAGCGAACCGATGATGACAGCGTTTTCGGATGTTCAAATCCAGGGTGTCTGGCCAGAACTGCATTGTGTGCTGTGATATTTTTTAACGTGATATCACTCATCTCTCCTGTTGATTCGCTAATTCCCCATCCAATTCCCAACCATTAGGCATTCATCAGGACCCCGAAAGGTTCTGTACAAATCCAGATGCAGAATGCTTATCGATAACATCAACAGTGTATCATTAATTGGTCGCCGGTCGGCAACCGTGATAAGCACGACACCAGAAAATCGTATAACCATATTTATTGTTTCGGTAACACGCTTACATGAAACAAACAGACTGCCACACCTTTAAACATACTGTGTCATCCAACATCAGGTGTTTCTAGAGACACATTCTCAAAGATAGAAAACAGAAGAGACGGGGCACGGCTAAACGGTCACACAAAAGCAGTTATGGAACAAAAGAACTGGAAAGAAAAGACTCTGACAAAGTTATCGGCACCGTGTTTAGTTTCCATACGCCGATCCCTGGCTGGAGCCGTAGCCCTGACCTCCGGTCGGGCCACGTCCCCTCTTCACGTTGCTGCGACCCTCCTCCTCGCCGTAGGCGTTGAAGAACTTGGCCTCGCCCTCGTACTCAAGTCGGCCACAAAGCCAAGTCGCCCTGGACCGAGTAGGAGACGGTCTGGAGCCGGCCGTCGGGCAGCACGACGCTGTACTGACCCTGCACCTCCTCACCGTTGGACTCCTCGGCCGCGCCAAAGTCATACCACGCACATCCAGCACGTCGTAGCTGAACGAGTACGGCGTAGGAGGCTCGGTCTGTCCGTAGCCTCCGTTGGACTGCTGGCCATAGCCTCCGCTGGACTGCTGTCTGTAGCCTCCGTGGACTGCTGGCCATAGCCTCCTGCTGGACTGCTGGCTGTAACCTCCGCTGGACTGCTGGCTGTAACCTCCGTTGGACTGCTGGCTGTACCCTCCGTTGGACTGCTGGCTGTAACCCCCGTTCGACTGCTGGCCATAGCCTCCGTTGACTGCTGACCGTAGGTCGGCTTCAGGCTGGACTCAAATGGTCTCCTCCGAGACTGCAGACCATAGCCTGATGATGCCGATGAAGACCCATATTGAGACTGGGCACCAGAGGGGGCACCGTACTGGGACTGAGCACCAGAGGGAGCACCGTACTGGGATGAGCACCAGAGGGAGCACCGTACTGGGACTGAGCACCAAGCCACGTCGATCCGCTACAGCCACAAAGGCAAGAGCAGCCACAATCAGGATCTTCATGCTTGCCGGAGACCAGTTGGAGCAACTGTGCCTGGCCCACCGAGTCTCGCAGTTTATACCGTATCCGCTCGTGAGCATTCACTCGCAGCACCGACACGGACTCATGATTGCACAATCCGGCTGAAATGAGTATGCAGATACTACGAGGTGTCGTGGGCGATCCGTGAGGAGATCAGAGCACGGGTATTTCCTCACCTGGCATTGACACCAGTTTGTATATCATGCTCGGCGGATTGATCCGAAACACCGTGGGCAGCCAGCCCTTTACCCAAACAGCCTGACCTCCAGGATTTCAGTACACGAGTCGTCATATTACAGCTCTTCGTATGTGAAACTTAAGAATGATCTTATCGCGACCACGCCAATCTCTGCATTGTCCCCATGCGCATAATTTTGCTCCAAATATTCCTATTCATAAGATATCGCACACGTCGTGATGTCTGCGGCATTTATGCACGCGCGCATTCTTCCACACCGGATTTCGTCGTACATGCTATTCTTTGTTAGGCGATTTGTCGCACTCGAAGCTCTTTGTATCGCACGGAGCTCTTTGTATCGCACGGAGTTCTTTGTATTTGCCTCTACGATTCTTCATGTCGCGTTTCTGCTCGCTGCATTTCTTCACAAACGTGGCTCTTTGTATCACCATTTTTGCCGAACAGAATCATTTAAATGAAGCATATGGCATTTGTATAAGAAACGTTTGTATTTCCTTGTCTTGATCGTTGGTGTTCCGCTTTTCATTCCCGTTGTCTTTCTTATGCTGTTCTTCAACACGCGCCCGGGTGGCCGGCTAGATACCCTTTGCTCGGGTGAGGGGGGGGGGGGCAATTTGCCCTCCGCTGAGATCTCGTGAACTAAGAAAGCTGGAGACACAAAATTAACAGAGTGTGTTGACCTGGACGTGGACTTACTTAGGTCACAGTTTGGTGTTCCTAGGCATGGTCTCTGAAGTGCCCCCAGAACCTAGGCAACTGTTTTAAGCAATATCAAGCCTTTTTCAGGTCCGTGACCTTGTTTGACCTTTTGAAGGTCATGGTGACCAAACATACAAGACTGCTCTGAATTTGGCCTTTGAATAAGCGACAAATTACGCTAGGTCCAGTATGCTCCTAAAACAAAATGTTGACCCGGGTCATCTTAGATCAGCAACCTGTTCTGACCTTTAAGAAGTCAATGGAAAATGAAATGCGGTTCCTGCTGTCATAAATTCGAAATAGCACCACAAACTATCCCATACAGCAAGCTCTAAAGAAATAAATCAGGTTGGTTTTGACCTTGGTCTGACCTTCATACCGGACCTTAGGTCAACATAATTTGCCCATGTAATATTTGTGGTGCCTAAAAGCATCTTAGAGATGTATGGATTCGTCAAACACTCCGTTATTGTATCAGATTGGACGATTCACTAGAAATTGCCTTCGCTGAAACCATGGCCTGACTTTGTCCTGCCATAGGTCAGCGATTTGACGAAGTCTATCTTAAATGTTTTATATCAAACGATTCGCTATTCAATTGTCTACAGCTATGCAAAACTTGGCGCGGCCGCATCGTGCCGTTCGGAAGCCATTCTGGAAAACCTTGGGGGTCAATTTGATCCCTCCCACCCGAGCGCGTGTTAAGAAGGGCAGGGCTGTGAACTGCGCCGAACGATCTTCAAGATTGGTATTTAGTTCAAAACCCCTGCAAGTGTGGAACACTTCCTTTATGACCCCGGTATGGAGAAGCATTTTTCTCGTCCCACTGTACAAATCATGATTTTCATTCTCCATCCGTGGCGCCGCTTAGCTGATGATGGCGTGCTCTGTGGCTCTGCTGATACATTCATCTGATCAAATAGCTGGGTTGGTAAGCATTGTACTACCGTGTCAATATGTCACAGACATTGGAGCTCGCACCACAAAAACCGACACGCTCACCTTCATGTAATCAGATATGCAGTTATGTGGAGTCGGTGGTCTCCAAAATTATTCAACGGTCCTGAAAAGGACTTCATCATTCTTGTGCGGATCAACCTAAGTATCTAGAGACTATTGGCTGAGCAGACACGTACCTCGTTCCCACTGTTGGTCCTAGGTTCGCACTTTCCCTCAAGAATGCGAGACTCTGAATCCTGATCCCGGCTGGTTCTTTCATGAGCATTAGCGCTGCGTTCCTGGACCCATTGTTGGTTTTGGAATTACACAAACCTAGTTCCTGGCTTTCACTAGTCCTTTTGAAACCACAAGATCTAGGTTCCTAGTTTTCACTGGTATAGGTTCCTACAGCACCAGAACCTCGTTCCTAGCCCCCCCCCCCCCCTGGCTCCTACAACACCAACCCTCGTTCTTGGTTATCACTGGCTTTCCACAAACACCAGAGCCTAGTTCCTAGCTCTCTTTGGTTCTTCCACCACCATCGAAGGAATGAACAAAGTGTGCCACAAGTCTTGCTCACTCTTCCACCATCTGTAAATACTCACACACACACACACCACACACACACCACACACACACACCCACCCACACACACACACACCCACACACCCAACACACACACACACACACCACACACACACACCCACACACACACACACACACACACACACACACACCACACACACATCTATCTCAACAGTCTCCATCGCTCGCGCTCTACTGATCCTCACCGCACGACTGCACGCTCTTTTTGCCTCCACCGCACGCGTCTGCCGTGGATGGCCATGCATAGTTCGTACAAGAACATCCCTAATCCAGTGTTTAACTAAACGTGCCGAGCCGAGATCTAGCCGGTGAGAACAGCACATGGCACGGCCGGTAGCAGCGTCGG